CGATTCGATACACTATACGATACTCATCCAATGATACGATTTATTGCAATAATTATCGCGATTCATTGATTAGAAGAAGGACAGAGAAAAAATAGTAAAAATTTGTAAAATTACTAACAAGTTTGTCAATTTGCTTCTAGTGTAAGAAGCAGGTAGAGTTGGTTCACTGATACCGAAAGGACTTTCAGCTCGAATACGGAAAGCGTAGTCTTGCTTTGGTGTCAGTCCAGTCACATGGTAGACCGGCTCTTTCAGGCCGGCAGCCATTCTTCTCCAGCCTAGACCAATGGGTTCTCTCATCTCAATTGTATAGGTGATCGGTGCTTTCTTGGCATAAGCAGGAATTCTGGCAGGGAACCATTTCAATGTCAGGCTCTCTGGTGCCATGTCTAACATTGCTGGTGAATCAATTGGCAGTTTGGGTGGAACTGGAATTCAAAAAAAGGTCTTTCTGCTCTGCACCCTTATGGGTTATAAAATAAAGTTTGATGTTCTGTAGTTTATTGGTAAAATGAAATTATTCAGTACTTTTTTGGTCTAATAAGACATAACTTTTAAAGGGATACTACCTCTTGGAATGGACAAACTTGGCCAATAAGTGTTTATATTCATCAGTTTTGACACTTACAAAGACTCATCTTAGCCAAGCTAAAAAATGTCTATATTTTGGTCATCCTAAGAGATAGTAGGCCTTTAAAGATACTGTACTGAGCTAAAGAGGATGAGCTAAACTATGATGATAGAAATCATGATAAGCTATATACTCTACTATTTATAGAATAATGTCTGAAGCTTCAAAACAAAACAAGATAAAAACCTACCAGATTGACCAAACTGGGTATCATAATCATAATCTTCTATTGGTGAACCAAGATCTAAAAATAATGAGAAAATTACAATGTATGGTGGTGCTCGATTAGAGAGTTTCCATTTCTTCCAATTCTGTTTGATTGAATTGGAACAGAGGGAACCTGTTCAGAACTCTCTAATCAAGCACTGACATCTGCCAAGGCATATTTTGTGGAGAAGAACTTAAATTCATGGAAAAAGGTTTCTTATTTCTCGCTAAAGGCCAAAGACTAAATTAAAAAAAATTTTTTAATAGAAGCAAAACATACCTGATTGTCGATTGTGGAAGACTGGAAGTGTGGGTTCACTCAATCCATAATCATTAACAGCTCGAACTCTGAATGCATAATCCCATAATGGGTTAAGATTCTTGACAGTGTGACTCAATCCCACCAAACCACCAGTCACCTCGCGCCAGTCGAAACTATTGGGTTGACGAACCTCTATCCTGTACGTTGTAGGAGACATCATAGCAGTGGTGGCAGGAACTCTTGCTTGGTTCCAGGACAGTTGAATACTTTCTGGAGATAGCTCATAAAGTTCTGGTTTTTCAATCGAAAGTCTTGGAGGAACTGAAAATAAATTACCAAGTGAATACAATGGTTTTTGACTGTTTTTTGCTGTTTTAAGTCCCTCTGAACTACAGGGGGAAACCAGGTTAAAAATCCAAGGGTATATTTCAACCTTTGAACCTTCAGTATCAAGAGCCTAACTGTGCTAAGCCACAGCACTGACTCCTCAACTATTTTGGTACTTTTACAGTACTAAACACTTTTGATGCCAAATTTATTGCTGATGATAGTCATCCCTAAGTTACAGCTCCTGTAAAAGTGGAAATAGTCAAATTGGAACAGTGTCTGCTGGATGACACAGTAGATACCAGTACCTGAAATCAACCACTAGAAAAGCTCAGTTGGATCAGCAAGATGCATTTCTCTGAAAATATTGTTGATGCTTTAATTGATGCTTAAAAGCATTGTAAAGAGGTTTTCTGGGTGCAAATTGATGCCAACAGTGTCCCCGATACACATAAAAATTTAGTAAACCTCTTTACAATCCCTTTAAGAGAGTTATCGTGATAAATAGAAGTTCTGTAAGCTTACCTTTTGTAGTAAGCTGTTCAATGTATGGTCTATTGGGTACTGAGTAGTCTTCTGTTATCAGCTTCATCTTATGGATTGGTAGAGGTTCATACTTTAACACTGGAACAGGCAGAAATGAAAATCACTAGGATAATGAAATGAAATGGACTTTTACAATCTACTGCTCTATACTTTACTAAGATAATGAAATGAAATGGAGGTTTACAACCTAGTGTTCTATACTTTACTAGGATAATGAAATGAAAAGGAGTTGTACAACCTACTGTTTGTACTTTACTAGGATAATGAAATGAAATGGAGTTGTACAACCTACTGTTTGTACTTTACTAGGATAATGAAATGAAGTTTTACATCCTACTGCTACATACTTTACTAGGATAATGAATTAAAATTGAGTTCTACAATCTACTGCTCTGTACTTTACTAAGATAATGAAATGAAATGAAATGGAATTTTACAACCTACTTCTCTGTACTCTACTGGGATAATGAAATGAAATGGAGTTTTACAATCTACTGTGTAGTTTACTAGGATAATGAAATGAAATTGTGCAGAATTTTGGATAATATCAATGATGACAATTTTTTTAAGGACAGCAATGTAACTTACGTTGAGTTCTGTGGTAGGGTATTGGAGGAGTTGGTTCAGTCAGGTGACCATGTGGTGTTACAGCTCGAATACGGAAGTGGTAATCCTTACGAGGACTCAAATCAGAGATGGTGTAGTCAGTGGAAGTCACACCCTTTGCTAACGGTCGCCATATTGGTGAGGGTGATTCCTGTTTTTCTATGACGTAAGATTTAGGAATACCATGGTGAGAGCTTGGAATATAGGCTGGTGACCATCTTAATCTTGCTGTTGTGGCATCTTCATCCAGAATAGTTGGTCTGGCAATTGGTACGCCTGATCGGACTAAAAAAAAATAATTTGGTTAACCAAGGAAATATTTTGAAAAACAAAAATATCAAATGCATGTGTACCCTTAAAAATTCAGTCGTATATTTCAGCAAAGTAACGTAAAACATGAAGACTAGCTAATTTTAGATTTTGTCACCATTCATTGATAAGGCAAAGTGCATCTGAACCAGAAAATGAAATGAATTGAGTTTTACGTCATATTTTTCTGTACCATGTGGGCTAATGAAGACGGGCAACGCCAAGCAGGGTACAATGAGGGAAATTTTGCCAGGACAGCGGACGACTAGATGCTTTATCCATGTCAGCCCCTTGTACCTGCATCACTGACAGGGGGGAAACTGGGTTAAAAATTCGAAGGTATGCTCGGATTGAACCCTGGACCTTCAGGTTAGAGAACAATCGTCAACTCACTGAGCCACTGCGGCTCCAGCATCTGAACCAGAACCCAATGTCAAGCTCTGTAAAAACTTTGCACATGCCATACTGTACATCATAAATTGGGTATGCAACTATTATGAGATGAACACTAACAGAGTCTAACCACTGACAACAGAGCCCAACTTCTGACAACAGAGCTTAACTACAGAGCCTAAGTACTGACAAAGCGAAACAAAAAGGAAACTCACTTGGTCTTCTGTAGAAAGGAATTATGGGTGAAGGTTCAGTTAGCCCCAGAGACGACTCTCCACGAATTCGAAAATTGTAGTCGCCATGGGGATCCAATTCCCTAACTCTGTATGAAGTGTCTTTTAATCCTTTCGCTAGAGGGCGCCAGTTGTAATCTGGCAGACGCTGACCTTCGATGATGAAGGTCATTGGTTCCTGGTCATACTCGAAAGCTGGAATATCAACACGTTGCCAGCCCAATAAGATGGAGGTATCATCTACTGATTGGATGCCTGGTTGTTGGACTGGTGGTCTGGAAATAACTGAAAAGAAACAACTATATTGAGCGAGACTAACATAGAAAGGGCTGTTTGTGGACATAAATTGACGTGTCATGTATTCAGGGCTAAATTGATTCAAAAATTTCATTCATTAGCTTAAAGCTGTAAAAACCGAAAAAAAAAAAATGAGGAACAAAATGTCATCTTCAGTTCTTCATCTCCAAATATAGTTTTGTTGATATGAATTCAGAGGCAACATAATAAAAATCTGTACAAGCAAGATGATTCCGTCAATATCTTGTCCAAAGAATGGCAAAAGCGAAAGAAAAGGTAATGTAGAAGTGCACTCCTCCAAAGAGAAGTACCATCAGGTGTTTCGAAGAGAGTAAGCATGGTCTGCTTCGCTTGCCATACCCATCACCTCTCTAAAGGTGAAAATCACGAGATGCAACCAGATCAATTCATGCCTGACCAAGCAAATCAGCAAACATCAAGCTGTTTCTGGGTACTGTCTATTTGTATAATTAACTATTTATGATATCAAAGCTTACCTGGTCTCCTATGAAGGAAAACAGCAGGAGAAGGTTCACTGACTCCTCCTCCATCTAAAATAGTTCGAACACGGAAAGCATAATCAGTGTCAGGATTCAAATCTCGGACACGGTAATTCAGACCAGTGATATGTGGCGCCACTGTTGTCCAATGAGGATTGGTCAGTTCTCTCATCTCCAATCGGAATCTACGTGGGACGTCATCAACATCATAGCTGGGCAGACGTACTGGTCTCCAAGATACGGAAACAGATTCCGGTTCCAGCTCAAAGATTTCTGGTCTTTCTACTGGAACACTTGGCAGAACTGAAAAAGGACAAGTAACCGAACATGGGATTGTGAATGAGGAAAAAATCATTAAAATTTGCATATTTAAACCATTGCAAAATTGAATTAATGAAATGAAATTGAGTTGCCATAGAGATGCCATGCAGTGTGCAATGACGGAGGTGAAAGTCCTTGAATTAAATATGGCTATCAAAGTTCTGTATTTATTTACTACCAGCTTTCTCACCTCTTTTTCTGGAGTAAGAAATTGGTAATGATGGTTCCAATAGTTCGCTGCCGATTTGTGGTCGAACACGGAACATATAATCTTCAGAGGGAGCTAACTCTGAAATTCTAAAGGAAGTATCTGGTATTTTTGAGGCGTAAGGAATCCACTTCCTGTCGACAGACTGATAGGTTTCTAAGGAGTAGGTGATAGGTTTAGTCGCAGGCAGCGTGGCTGGTAAAGATGGCCGTCTCCATTTTAATTGAAGGTAGGATGGCTTATATTCTTCAATTTCAGGGAACTCTATTGGTAGGTGATATTCTGAAGAAAAAAATTTAATAAATCATTGTAATGAGGTTTTCTAAATTTTTTAAATGTATCGGGGCACTGATAGCATCAATTTGAACCATTTCAATTTTCAATCATACGTCTGTGGTTCCTGCGATTCCACTAAAACTAAGTGTTTGATGACGTCAATAATCGCAAAATAGCAAAGGACCTTATTTGGTAAAGCATATATTGCGATTAATGACGTCAGTAAACACTTCTTTTTTTTGTGGAATTCGAGGAACCACAGACGTCTGATAGAAAATTGGAATGGTGCAAATTGATGTTATCAGTTTCCCTGATACACTTGAACATTTTTGAAAACCAATTTACAATCCTTATAAAGTTGGATCAAATTATATTTAACTATAAACTATTTCATTATCATTTCTTCATAAGCTATTTGGAGCCGTGGTGGCTCAGTGGGTTAGACGCTTGCACGCTAACCTGAAGGTCCAGGGTTCAATCCCGGCATAGGTCCAGATAATACCTTCGGATTTTTCAACCTGGTTTCCCCCTGTCAGTGATGCAGGTAAGAGGGGCTGACATGGAAAAAGCGTCTAGTCGTTCGGATGGGACAATAAATCGAGGCCCTGTGCGCTACAAGCTGTGCTTGTTAAAGATCCCTCGACAGTTGGAAATCGTAAAAGAGCAGGCTAATGCCGCTGTCCTGTCAAAATTTCCCTTATGCCACCCTGCATGGCGTTGCCCGTCTTCAATAGCCCACAAGGTGCAGAAAAGTAGGACGTAAAACTTCATTCATTTCATAAATTATTCCCAAGATTCTTAAAGGTCTATTCTGTTCACAGCCACTGTCAAAAACATTCCAATCATGAAATCTTATTACCTGGTCTCCTGCGAAGAGTAGCAGGGAAGGTTGGTTTACTTGTACCGAAATCATTCTCAGCTTGAATACGGAAAGCGTAGTCACGGTTCGGTTGAAGACCCATAACCGTATAATCTGTATATGGTATTCTTCTCACTAGAGGACGCCAGTTAGTGTCTGGATATTCTTGACACAGGATAGTGTAAGTTACGGGTATCGTTGTGTCATTCATGTATGATGGGATATCAGCTGGTCTCCATGACAACCTGACGGAAGAAGGTCTGACATCTGATATGATTGGTTCTTCTGTTGGAAGAGCTGGCATAACTGAAGTGAAATACATTTATTAATAGAGAGGGCTTATGAATGTTGTTCGAGTTCGGGACTCAGTCAACCAGTCGTTCAATAAAACAAGTCAGAACAGAGTTCACGTTACCATGTGTGCCGAAATCAAAATGGCGGAGAAGTGAAGTAGGAAAATTTGGAATGTGACATATTGGGTTGCGTATTGTTGGATTGAGGACAGAATAGGAACAGACGGAACGTGTTCAGAACACTTCAATCGAGCGCTACCTATGTCACATCTGTTTTGATGTGATTTGATTTTGTCATAACTATTTATCAAAAAGTAGTAAGATACTTACCAGGTCGTCTGTGGACTGTTATAGGCTCTGTAGGTTCACTCAGGCCGAAATTACTCTCCGCTCGAACTCTGAACACATAATCTCTATCAGGTTTTAATCCTGTCACTCTATACTGGGTACGCGGTACACCATAAACCAGAGGGCGCCAATCAAATAATGGAGATTCTTTGACTTCAATGTTGTAACGTACTGGAGAATAGTCTGTAATACGACTGGGCAGTTCCACAGATCGCCATGACAACATTAAAGAGTCTGGGTAAACTTCAGAGATGTATGGCATTTCAGTTGGCATCCTTGGTGGACCTAGAATAAATTAATGTGTTTTTGCTTCATAAATGATAGATGATTAATATTATCTGCAGGGAAGTATCTAGAAAATGTCTGAAGGAGAGGCAAAAAAATGGGGTGTCTCTCAAAGGCGAGGGCAGAAGTGCAAAAGCCCCTTTAAGCTGGGGGTCTGGGGGCTACCAAAGGAACCCATAAGCCAATAGATTTCAGATGGCCTAAGATGAATTTTGAGAATTTAGAGGGCTTAATTTTCACTTCAAAATAAGACCTATCACAAGCCTAGCCCACATCCTAAATATGCCACTGATTATCTGTATTTCTTTCCAGAAAATTTCAATTTGATCTCTGGTTCCCTAACTGTAACATCAACTCAGAATTGCTATATTCATGTAAATAGGTCATTTTTTTTTGACATTAACTCCAGGCCCGTATTCTCAAACCAATCTTAGCGATCTGAGGTTCTTAACTTCAAACACTGTTTCTAGGATATCCTAGGTTCTTAACTTCAAACACTGTTTCTAGGATATCCTTGGTTCTGAAGTTCAAACACTGTTTCTAGGATATCCTAGGTTCTTAACTTCAAACACTGTTTCTAGGATATCCTAGGTTCTTAACTTTAAACACTGTTTCTAAGATATCCTAGATTCTTAACTTCATAACACTGTTTCTAGGATATCCTAGGTTCTTAACTTCAAACACTGTTTCTAGGATATCCTAGGTTCTTAACTTTAAACAATGTTTCTAAGATATCCTAGATTCTTAACTTCATAACACTGTTTCTAGGATATCCTAGGTTCTTAACTTCAAACACTGTTTCTAGGATATCCTAGGTTCTTAACTTTAAACACTGTTTCTAGGAAATCCTAGGTTCTTAACTTTAAACACTGTTTCTAAGATATCCTAGATTCTTAACTTCATAACACTGTTTCTAGGATATCCTAGGTTCTTAACTTCAAACACTGTTTCTAGGATATCCTAGGTTCTTAACTTTAAACACTGTTTCTAAGATATCCTAGATTCTTAACTTCATAACACTGTTTCTAGGATATCCTAGGTTCTTAACTTCAAACACTGTTTCTAGGATATCCTAGGTTCTTAACTTTAAACACTGTTTCTAGGATATCCTAAGGGTAAAATTGTTTCGAGAATACGTGGCCAGGGTTATCATTGCAACAAAAGACAAATATAAACCTACCTCCTCTGTGTGGCAGATAGGCTGCTGGGCTCGGCTCGCTTACGACGTCTCCAGATTCTGCAAACACTCTAAACAGATAATCTTGGTCTGGTTTCAAAAATCGGATTGGAAGATTGGTTCCAGGGATGTTGCCTATCAGATGTTTCCAGGATGTACTTGGTGGTTCCTTTATCTCCACCTTGTAAGTGACTGGTCTTCCCGAGTGGACCGGCTTAACATGGCCCCAAGTCAACTCACAAGAATCAGGGGTAATGTTACAAAGCATTGGTTCTCTCTGTGGTAGGTGTAAAACTGCAAAAGACAATAAATTACTGAAATGAAATGACTGGAGTTTTACATCCTACTCTTCTGGACAAAGTGGGCTAATGAAGACAGACAATGCCATGCAGTGTGGAATGAGGGAAATTTTGCCAGAGGCATTAGCCTGTTCTTCTTCGATTTTCAACTGTCGAGGGATCTTTAACGTGCACAGCCCATAATACACAGGACCTTGGTTTATTGACCCATCCGAACAACTAGATGCTTTTTCCATGTCAGCCCCTCTTACCTGCATCACTGACAGAGAGAAAATAGGTTGAAATAAATTACTGAAGTGGTTGTGAGATCCACCTTAATTGATGTTGCAAGGAAGGTGTAAACACCAGAAAGGGCTAAGGTGACCATCATCTTTTTAAACATAATAAGGTAAATGCAATCATGAAACATTATTTGTGATGTTCTATAGCACAGTCGGTTGGAGAGTTGGTTCTTATAATGACGTCATTTGCTTGGTTATGTCGATCGAATGGGTTCCGTTTTGCATCATGATCATGTGAAAAAGCATGTTAAATAAGTCATCTTCACCCATAATTCCAGTCGACCAAGAAGTAAATTGGTACAGATAAACCAAAAAGATCAATGCTCAGAGGTTTTGCCAAAGACCAGCTGGTAGAAAGGATCCTTAACTGTGAACCTAAGTTGTTATCCATGTAAAATATAGTTCTTTCTTGATAAGGTGTGTTTTCAGAATATTTTCAAATATATTGCTCAATTTTTGAAAAAAAGGGAAAACAGACCTGGACGTCTTCTGAGTTTCACTGGCAGACTGACTTCTCCTGGTCCATATTCTGTTTCCGGTCGAACTCTAAAATCATAATCCACATCAGGCCTGAGACCAGTTACCAAGTAATGAGATTCTGGGATACGCCTAGCAACTGGTACCCAGTTAGAGCCAGGATATTCCTGCATGTCTATAGAATAGGTTACAGGAATAATTTGGCGTGAATACATTGGAATCTCTGCTGGTTTCCATGCCAACTCAACAGATGTAGGTCCAATATCAGCTATGGACGGCTCTCTTATGGGTAATCTTGGACGTACTGAAATGGAGAAAAACAACAATTTTGGCGATTGACATATCTGCCAAATAGACAGAAACAGAAATTGTTTGGGGTTCGCTCGAGTTCTGCAAATTAATGGAATCAACCAGACTTTTGGAACAGAACAGGAAAATTTTAAAAGTGACATATTGCCTTCTCCGCCATTTTGAATTCTGTTTGCACCTACTTGCAAACTTGTTTTATTCAAGGTGCGGTTGATTCCATGAAATAAGGAGGACACTTTTCTTTATATGATTTAAAATATTTTTGAACCTACCTGGCATACTGGTAATAGAAATGGGTTCTGTGGGTTCCAGATACCCACTTGAAGTTTGAGGTCGAACACGCAGTCTGTAATCTGCAGTGGGTCGTAAACCTTGGAGCATGTAACTTGTGTCTGTAACATCTTTTGCCACTGGTCGCCATTCCAAACTGGGCAGTTCTTGAGATTCTATTTGGTACCTGATTGGTTCAGTGGATTTGTACTCCATTGGTTGCCATGCCAACCTCAATTTCTCAGGCTGCATGTCCAGGACTTTCAAACTATCTGATGGCAATGATCTCATTGGAGCTGAAACGATGAAATGGAGTTTTACATTCTACTGTACTGCTTTGGAAAGTAAAGATGGTCTTTTAAGCAATTAGACGCAAAGAACAAAAAAGGATGCAATGCCTGCAATTACTCATATTTTTATGACTCATGGACATCATGGACTTCATTTGAATGTTAAGAGAATTTCATTTGACAATGATAACTTACAAGGACCTCTATGTAGACCAGCAGCGTGGGATGGTGGGCTCAATCCATAGGGAGTTATTGCCCTTACTCTGAATCGGTAGTCATCTGCAGCACCAATGTCTGGGATACGATAAGAGGTTACTGGTAGGCCACTAACAACTGGACGCCAGTTGTCAATAGTCGGTTCGCTTCGTTCAATCATATACAACAGTGGTTCATCATCCAAATCAAATGGTGGAATTTCTACACGTCTCCATGACAACCTCACAGAATCGTAATCAGGCTCGTAATCATCTATTCTGACTTTATCAATTGGTACATGGGATTTAGCTGAAAAAGTCAAAAATGGCATGTAAGGTACATGGGTAAGCACCAGCTATCACCTAATGCTCCTTAGCAACTGGGATTGTCATATCATTTTATAATATATGCTGTATACGTTCTCTGTAATGGACGAAGAGTTGGATTAGGGGCTAAAAATGTAGGGATTGTCATCACCATTACAGTTGACAAAAACAAATTCAAAACGACCTTACACAAAAATCTAACATGAAACTTGTTCTTGTTGGGATAGCCATTGCAGAGAAACTCAAAAATAAATATCAGACTACCCAAAACTGATTTGGAATTACCCAATGCAAGTGTTCCAAAAAAAAAAGTGGATTTGCAGACTACATAAAGTCTTTGGACTTACCAAGTGTTCTAAACAAGGAAGCAGCTGGAGAGGGTTCAAGAGTTCTTCCTTCTGATGTGACAGGTCGAATACGGAACCTGTAGTCGTGTCCAGGACTGAGACCAGTGACTCTATGATAGGTATCAGGTATCTGTCGACCAATAGTCTGCCAATCCAGTGAAGGTGGTTCTTGCATTTCTATCATATATGTCAATGGGTCCTCTTCGTAATCGAAGGCTGGGATGTTAACTCTTGCCCAGGATAGCCTCACAGAGTCTGGTTCCATCTCCACAATTTCTGGTCGGCTTACTGGAACGCCAGGGAAAGCTGAAATATGAAAGATAATTATAGGCTTCTTGAGGAGTAGTTGAATACTTTATTCTATACAAATTTTGGGAATTCCAAATTTTTGGATTTTTGAAGAGAAT